AAAGGATCACTGGCCGGTAGTCTTCAGCGCCAGCTCTGAACCTCCCTCCTGTGAATAGGGTATCTATTTACCATCTGCCAGTCAGAGGGTGCAATATCCTCATAAAAGGACGACTGGGAAGTATGCAAAAGCCGTCCGTTGGGTTAGCCAACAAGCTCTCTTGGAAATTTTGCCAGCATTTGGTACGCATTTGAAGATTAACACTCCTTAAGCGCAGGGAATTCCCTCGGTTATTGCCTTCTGAGATATCGATGCTTTCCAGAAGCCTGACGTTTCGGATTCCTACTCGAATCCATCATCAGAGACAAAAAAGCAGAAACGGGTGGTCGCTGCACAAGGGGCTGCGGTATTTATAGGATGCAGTAGCCATGCTGCCGCATACCTATGAACATTCACGGCTCCCCCTTCAGCCGGGATCGTCGCACTTGGTGTGATCACTGCTTGATGGCCGACATTCGAGTCGATAATTGCTGCAATTTCATCACGTGCGTTGGATGTTGGCGTGATGATTGCTCGACCATCTGACGCACCGACCCCGTTGTTGGGAGAAGTTTTCACCTCTGCGCTCCCCGCATGGCTTGTTACTCCGCCTAGGCGAAGTTTTAGCACGGAGTAGGGAGTCGGAAGTCGTTGCACTTTTTGATGGACTGGGGGCCAGTAAACCATGATTCCAGCTGAATATGCCAAGACAACATTGTACATTTCACTTAGATGTTGGTGCAGGGCAATCACGAATAGTATCAACCCTAGAAGTAGCAGTTGAAAACTTGTGAGTTAACATAAAAGCCAGAGAATTTGGGCAAAGGCGTGCCAAATGCCCATTTACAAGTGTTGGTGATAATCCCAAACCCATCGACACAGCTAAACAACTTCTCGACGTGAATCTTGTGTTCTCCGTCATTCCCACTAGGCAGTGACAGGTCATCGATGCAAGCTTTCATCAACAATGAGCCACGTTAGGCATGGTTGATGAAACTCTTGAACGTCTGAGCGGTACAGTGAACGCCGAACCTCATCTAAATGAATCAGAATAGTCCAAATGGCCCAGTGATGGCGGTTTTCAGCATATCCCCATGGGCGACAGGAATCTGATGAAAGGCACTTATCAGATAATTCTACGTGAAAACCACTCTACCGCAAAGGCTTACTGCGACTACATGAATACTAGTCAGTGGGGACCGATAGGAAGTAATTGCATTATTATGGGCCTGATAATCGTTACATGGTCTGCAGATGCCTGATTGGGCCGTTGACAGTTTGTGCAGGCGGAGTCTCAGGTGTTCTCCGAGGGCTGTGTGATTCCCAATTCCAGCAAGTGTTCAAATTCCGCCTTCGCGGTCTTTAGGTGCTCCGGCATAGGCCGTCAAGGACAAAGAAAAGCAAGAGGGCCTGTAGTACGCATGAGGTGCACAACGTCATGATGAAGTTCGCTACTGTGAAACTGGATGGAGGGGGGGGGAGAGTGCTTTAAATGGTATCGGATTATTAATGGAGTAGGTCGTGATTTGGCAAGCCACGTCCGTATGCAGAACAGGTGGGTTCCGGGAGATAGTCAAGGGAGTTAAAGCGTGAACAGACAGACGAGTTTTGCAGTCGAGACGTCAGAGCCGAAACAGTGTACAAGGAAATGGAAGTCCGCTAGACAGACGGAGTCAAAGATTTCATAAAGGGCGTCAGCAATTACTCAGATCCAGGAGAACAATTGATAAAAGCCAGAGATTTGAATGAAGAACATTCGGCGGAAGCCCAGCAGGCGGCCACAGCGAGAAATCCTCTCTAGGTGGGTCGGGTACAACTGGATGGCGGTTTTGAGGGGAAGAACGGGCGGGGCAAACGGCAAAGGGCACTGAATGTGCAGTTGGAAGCCGAAAAATGTTGGAAATCGCAGAAAAATAAATATTTGTTTTAATGAAGTCAAAAGTAGGGGGAGGATGGCGCGCAAATAGGGAAAAGCGTAGGCAATGACCAATCGAAGGAGGGCCGACCGGGGACGTGATGTGATTGGCGGCCAGGGCGAGTTAACCTGAACCGCCAAGCGGCTAACCAATGGGATCGTTGGCGCCGCATTTGAAGGTGGTGTGCATTAGGTGGACAGAAAACGGACGATGCGCAAGGGAGACGCGAGGGGACAGCGGTGTACTGCGGTTGGGTAAGAGTATTTGAATAAACCGCCTATGACAATTGCGTCACTTCCCAGCCTCTTACTGACCCCCTCCTCAACCCCATCCCTATTTGTTAAGTCGGTGATCTCCACCGCATGCACCGTTTCATACGCATAACGCAAACAATGTTTAGGATACCTGGACGTACTCCAACACCACCGCACCAACATACAGCAAGTCGGCAAACTCCCGAACTTGGCGGTCGCTGTTTTACGCGATTTGTAAGTATCCATGGTGAGAGCAGTTTATAGGCCTACGTAACCCTTTTAAGTTTAAATTTATCCGCCGTAGCGCAACTTGGTGGACCAGGCGTCGAAGTACAGGTAGACGAGACGCTCATAAGTCGCCGCAAACATAACAGGGAACGACCGCGGCGGCAGTTGTGGGTCGTAAGTATGTACAATACACGCAGGCGGAAAGCCCTATTTGAGCAGATTA